ATGCCAACAGTGGGATTGAGTGCACCTTTAACTGGTTTGCTGGTGATACCAAGCTGCGTAGTGCAGTCGACACACTGGAGGGAAGAGATGCCATCCAGAGGGATCTGGACAGGCTTGAGAGGTTGGCCTGTGTGACCACTGTGAAGTTCAACAAGGCCAAGTGCAAGGTCCTGCATCTGAGTCAGGGCAATCCTAGCACAAATACAGGCTGAGAGCAGCCCTGAGGAGAAGGACTTGAGGGTGTTGTTTGGTGAGAAGCTCAAAATGATCTGGCAATATGCGCTTCCAGCCCGAAAAGCCAACAGTGTCCTGGGTTGCATCAAAAGCTGCATGACCCATATATCAAGGGAGGTGATTCTGCCCCTCTGCTCTCATGAGACTCCACCTTGAGTACTGCATCCGATTCTGGGGGCCTGACCTGCTTTCAGTTGTGATAGAGTTAATTTTCTTCTTAGTAACTGGTACAGCACTACAGTGTTTTGGATTTAGTAGGAGAATAATGTTGATAGCATACTGACCTTTTGGTTGTTGCTAGGTAGTGCTTATTTTAAGTCAAGGACTTTTTGGCGACTCATGCTTTGCCAGTGTGGAAATGCACAAGGAGCTGGAGGGAAGCATAGCCAGGACAGATGACCCAAACTGGCCAAAGAAATATTCCATACCATAGAATGTCTTGTACAGTATATAAAGTGGGGGGAGTTGGATCCCCTGTGCTGGGAGATGGGCTGGGCATCAGTACGCAGATGGTGAGCAATTGTACTTGTGTTTCTTGGGTTTAATTTTTTCATCTCTCTTCCCTCCTCTCTCTCCCCCTCTGCTTTAATTACCGCTATTGTTGTTGTAGTTGTTACTATCTTAATTTGTTTCAATTATTAAGCTGTTCTTATTTGGACCCACATGTTTTACCTTTCTTGTGATTCTCTTCCCCATCTCACCAGGGTGGCAGGAGGATAGGTAGGGAGTGAGCAAGTGTCTGTGTGGTACTTAGTTGTGGGCTGGGTTAAACCACAACAGGCCTGCAGCATAAGAAGGACATGTTCCTTTTGGAGCAAGTCCAGAGGAGGGCCACAAAGATGGGGCTGAAGACCGCTATTGTTGTTGTAGTTGTTACTATCTTAATTTGTTTCAATTATTAAGCTGTTCTTATTTGGACCCACATGTTTTACCTTTCTTGTGATTCTCTTCCCCATCTCACCAGGGTGGCAGGAGGATAGGTAGGGAGTGAGCAAGTGTCTGTGTGGTACTTAGTTGTGGGCTGGGTTAAACCACAACAGGCCTGCAGCATAAGAAGGACATGTTCCTTTTGGAGCAAGTCCAGAGGAGGGCCACAAAGATGATCAGGGGCTGAAGCACCTCCCCAGTGATAACAGGCTGAGAGAGTCGAGGGTATGTAGTCTGGAGAAGAGAAGGCTTAGGGAAGACCTTAGAGCAGCCTTCCAGGACCTAAAGAGGCTTCAAGAAAGCTGGAAAGGGACTTTTTACACAAGCATGTAGTGATAGCATAAGAAGGAATGGCTTTGAACTGAGAGTAGGTTTAGATTGGATATCAGGAAGAAATTCTTCACTTTGAGGGTGATGAAACACTGGAACAGTCTGCCCTTACCTTCCTGTAAACGTTCAGTGCCAGGTTGGATGGAGTTTTGAGCAACTTGGTGTAAAAGAAGGTATTCCTGCCCGTGGCAATGTGGTGAAACTGGAGGTTCTTTAAAGTCCCTTCTACCCCAAAGCATTCTATGATTCTGTGAGGTCACAAACATTTGATAAGGCTAACATTTTTAAACTGTAACTTTGCTTCAGTTTTGCAAACTGTTCACCTTCACAGTATGCATTAATATTGACTAGTATTGACTACTACTAGTCAATAAATCAACTGCCATCAGTACTGTCATTCTGCAGTACCTTTGTATCATTTAGTGCAACACTTTGTGTTCAGTTTTTCAGTGCTTATGCTGACTTCAAAATGTGACTGTCTCTTATTTCTCATATGCTACTGAAATCATGTTGTGAAGCTAGAATTTATTTCTTTAGAGATAGTTTTTGATCTTCCAGTATGCATATTATCAAAGAAACTCCCATCTCAGATTAAGAGTAAATATACTCCTGTGCATCCTTCCTACACTTCCCTTGAGAAGACTGAGAATATGCAGTAACTTTCATTGACTAGTTTGATATGTTCTGCTATTTTTTTCTGGTTATCTGACTCCTTATGTTTAAAGTAATTTCCACCAAATAGAAAATTTAGGTTCTGTGTATACAGTTGGTGAAACTGACATTACCAAGCACAAAGAAGTTGAGTTGCTATTATGTGCTGTTTCTTATGTTGTCTCACATTAATGAATAAACTTAGAAAGATTCTGTTGAACTTATACAAATAATAGGTAATTTTTTCTGGTTATCTGACTCCTTATGTTTAAAGTAATTTCCACCAAATAGAAAATTTAGGTTCTGTGTATACAGTTGGTGAAACTGACATTACCAAGCACAAAGAAGTTGAGTTGCTATTATGTGCTGTTTCTTATGTTGTCTCACATTAATGAATAAACTTAGAAAGATTCTGTTGAACTTATACAAATAATAGGTAATATTTCTTGGATCTATTTTCTTTCCCATAGTATTTTCTTTTTCCTTAGATTATTTTTAAGTTTTACCTTTGACCCTCTTGTTAGGAAAATCAAAGTTTTTACCAGTTGAGAACTTCATACAGTTGCTAGTCAAAATCTGTATGTGATTGCAAAATGTTTCACTTGCTTTTTAAGAATATTAGCTGCCTCTATATTTCTGACAGTGGTTATTTCATCATTTTTCTTTTCACAGAATCTGAAGAAGACACATCCCAGATGATAGAGGCAAGTGAGGCAGATGATAAAACACCAAGTTCTGAGCAGCTAAATGATAATCTAGCTGAAGAAGTTGAAAAACAAGAAGCAGAAAACGTTTCAACAACTGAAGATTCTATTTCAGAGTCTATTTCAGCTGAACAAAGTGAAGAATCCTTAATGAAAGCAGAATAAAGTACTTCAAGTGCCTTCTGTAGCTAGTTTTTAGCTTTGTTCATGCCTGTTGTTACTATTCAGGTGAGCTTTTTTTAATGGTACAACTTAAAAATCTCGCTTGAGCATAAACTGCCTCAATGCCACAGTGTGTCAAAGCTATGTGTAAAAGTGGGTATTGTAAATTAATCATGTCTCTAAGTTAACACACAGAATGTGTAGTTGGTTGAAGTCTAACAGTTGTAGTCATTGTTTAGTTTGCATATGTTAAAACTTTGCAGTATAAGCTTAGCAAAGAGTGACTTATCATTTGACATCTCTTTAGCTGTCACACATAAAGAGCAATTACTGACAGCAACTGACCCAGTAAGTTTGGTCTAGTGAACTTAAGATACTTCTTAAAGCTTCCCTGTTAAGGTGAATTGAGTACATGTTAAATACACATATGTTTACAAGCTAAAGTGTCACCTGATATTTGACTTAAGCATATGGAAGTGTCATTGCAGTGATGTTAATATTATTCGTCGTCTAACTTTTTGACAGAATTCAGTTAAGTGGCACTTGGATAAACGGCATCTCCTTTGGTGTTTGCATTGCAGATGAACCAGAGGCACCTACATACAAAACTGTTTTGTGTTTACATAAAATATAGAAAGTCTCTGCACTTGATTGTACTTGAATACAAAGCACTATTTATACCTGTACATTAATGACAAGATATAAGTGAATTTTGTGCCTTTGTGTACTTTGTTAAAGGAAAATAAAGACTTCTAGCAGCAATATTTGCTTTGTGATTCCTAAAACTGAAGAGCATTTATGTTCTGCTGTATGCAGCTATTCTACAGTTACTTTGTGCAAGTTCAGAAGGAATATAAGACCTTAAAAGAGTTTCTCTGTATGTAGCTAAGGTGGCTTTGATAGAATAGAAATAGATCCCTGACCAATAGGGGAAGTGCATTTGCCAAACGGCTTTCCTAATTGTGCCTAAAGCTTGTTGATACAACGACTATTTGCTGCTGGATTACTGAAACTGTACTTTCTTATTGTATAACTTTTCAAGCTAAGGACACTTGTTATACATTTTCTGTTAAATATAACAGCTGGGATCCTGGTCTAGAATTTTTCTGGTGCCTGAAGTATGAGGTACCTAAATCAATCAGGTTTTTTTTAGAAATAAATGCTGACCATGTGTAACTTGCTTCATTTAGTAGTACTTCTGATGAAAGTTTTATTGTGTACAGTGTTGTCTGTGTGCTTCACTATAGGGAGAGGAGAGACTTCAGAAACACTTTGTCTTGGTCCCAAACAGAACTGGTTTTTACACTAAAGACAACAAAACTCCTAAATCTGAGTAGCTAAATAGTCCTCTACAAGAAGAGCTTGTTTCTAAATGTGACCTTCGTATCCATGTCTTTATACAAGCCATAATTATTGCATGAACAGCAATGATTAATTTTCTTTTCCAAATACATGCTTTATTTTCTGATTCTATGGGTTTGGTTTAGAAACTTCTCTTCACATCAGTCAGACTCAAGTATGGTCTGTATTTAGATAAATGAGGATTTTTTTTTTTAAATGCTTCACTATCTAAATTGCAATTCATCTTTTAGTTAGTAGTCTTAAGAGAATGTAGGCATGTGATTAAATGAGTACTCGTTTGGCTATACTTATATGACCAATTAGTAAAAGCATTTTGTGTGTGATTATCTTAGTTGGGAATGCAAAAAAACCAGTCCCTTTTCAAAGCATCTCTTACAGTATGAGAAAAGTAGACGGTACAAAGCAATAGGGGAATGCATTATTTAATATTTTCAGGAATTCCAGAACTTACTTAAAATGGAAATAATTTTACCCAAAAGCTGACACAACTTACTTAATATTTAGTACGACTTTCAGATGTTCATGTCTGCATTGCCTTTTGTATCTCACTGATTTATCTGCTTAAAGGCTGGTTTCTTTGGAGAGGAAAAAAATCACAGACCATGTCAGTAATTCAGCACAGTAAATTGTTAGATGCACTTACATTCTAAGTGCTAAAAAGAAGTAAAATTTGATGTCTTGATACCTCATATAGAAGGCATGAATTACTGTCACTTCAGAACTTAAGGTTACTCTAGTTTCTGGTCTTTCGTAAGGTAATTTTAGGTCTGTTCCATGACAAGCAGTAACTGAGCTGTAAGGCATATATTATAATTGAGTTAATTGTGAAAATGATCTATTCATAATGGAACTGTATATTAAAAATGTTTTCATTAGCTTGGGACATGTATATTTTCAGATGTCCTACTTTTGCCAAAGAAACTGATGCTCCTTAGGTTGTTGGGACTATGAACTTATTTGAAAAAGGAGACTCAGTATCTGGAGTGGTATGGGGTGTTATTCCTCCCAACAGTCTTAAATGTGACATTAGCAACTTTCCACAGGAACGATCGGTACTTTTTGTTTCAAGTTGCTGAAGGATCAGGTAGTGACAGTCAACCTGGTGTGATAACAAATACTTCTTGGAATGTGAAAACCTAGCTTTGAGACTTAAAACTACCTAGAATTTCTGAGGAGGAGAGGAGCTAGTATGTTTTAAGCACATGGAGTTTTCCTGAAAGACTTTCATACTGAAAAAAGCGTCCAAGTAGTTGTTCCTCTTAACTACTTCAGGAGGCTTGAAGATTGTTAAGGATGTTCTGGTATTTTGGTAATTTTTTAGGGTTTTAAAGCAGCTACAGTAAATGAGGGTGCAGTGTTAATTCAACTGTGAGTGAATTCAGGCTCATGGAGATATGTATAATAGTAATAGATGATGGGCTTTCCTCAATTTACAGTAAACATTCACAAGTTACTCCTGCCAAGTGTGTGTGCCCCAGTCCTGATATGAATATGAGAAGGGGATTCTGTTTCTGCAGCAGGTGCTTCTTGGCTGCTGTATGCTGCAAACGTGGCAATAGTAAGGCACTTGCTCAACAGGGATTGAATTGAAATCCAAAAATACCTGTAAATGAACAGCAGTAGCCACACTTAGTCATATCTTTGTACCATAAAAAAAACAAAACCTTTGAAGTAGGAGTATGTAGACTAAAAATGTACAGCAATTGTCATATTTTATCCAGTTGCAGACTGACTCTGAAAGACAAGGAAATGGATGAAAGTAGGGGAGAAAAATATAACAAATACTGTGGGTCCATGTTCTGTTTTCATCTAATTTCCTGGTATGTACCCGAATCTCAGTTTTTTCAAAAGTACTTAGAAGCCTGATCCTGTGAAAAATCTCACTGCTGAGAGGTGTTATAGGAACTCCCCTTTCTTCTCGTGGCCTGGATGAAAAGCAGAATTGATTGGGGTACTAAAGTAGTACTTGGCAAGCTTGTTGGTGCTGTGTTTTTATCAATTCTGAAATACTGTGAATAGATGCAGAGATTTCCTTTTATTCAAACATAATTTATAAATTAGGAATTATCTGGGCTATGTAAGCTTTGTCACAAAAGACAAATTGATTGTTCTAGTTCAAAATAAGTTTGATCAACTGTTTTCAATTTAAGTTTTACTAAGAAGCCTACAGAACAGGGGCAAAAAGGCAATGTGAATTTCAAATTTTAATACTCTTTCTAAAGGAATACACAATTGATTACCCTTGGACATTTTGGCAGAAATAGATCATTTAGTGGAATCTTGGTATGACAGTGGTTTGTCTCAAGAAATCTGTTTATCATAAACATGCAGGAAAGAGAGAAGCTCGCAAGGAACAGCACAAGAATGTCGTGCAGAAGCTGACAATTTCAGAATGGTCTAGAGGTTATCAAAGTCATGTAACTAGGGGTGTGTATGCTTGCCTTGAAGTCAAGGACAAGAAGGTTGAACCCCATTTGGTGCATGAGTAGAAGCCAATGGAAGGACTTAAAAGAGTGACAGAGTGAAACAGATTGTGGGAGAGGGAAGGGAGAGTGGTTTTGTCTATCAAGATGAGCTTGAAAAGATTTTTCAGAAAATATAAGAGTGTTTGGTTTTTACTACGTGGCAGCACATACCCCTGGTTAATATCATGTTCTTCATGTCAGAAATAATAAGAATGCAATTGACAATGAATCATATTAGAGAAACTTGTTTGGGTTTTAGAGTTAATTCTAGAATAAGCAGGTGACAATAACTTGGTATAATAAAACTATCTAGCTATTACTAGAGATTGATAACTTTTTTAGTCTTCAAAGTCTAGGAGAAACACTTCTCTGGTGCATGGTTTTGAACTTAGCACTGTGCACTTGTGGGTCTGTGGTGATGGATGAGTGAGTAGTCTAGAGAAAAGTGTTCATTATTCAATAGCTAAGTCTAGTATTAAAAGTCTTTATCTTCATAAAATCTGAATGCAGTGCAAGAAAGTTCTACATAAGCTGCTTCTGTTTGTTTAGGAGTGAAGTATTTTTTAGGTCTTTCACAATTAGGAAGAGACTGTCCACGGAGTAAAGAATGTCCTGTCTGTGAATGTTTCACTAGAACAATAACCTTGAAGATTTATTTTGCATCTTTGGCAAATAGTCATTTGACTACTTCACTGAGTGTTCTTAAGCAAAATCTCTAGGCCCTCATTTCCTTCTGTGTCTCATGGATTGTTTGGTTTTTTGTTTTGGGGTTTTTTTTGCCTTAAATCTCTGAAAGACTCTTTTCTGTGCAGTCACATGGTTAAAAGTTAGTGCCTCAGATCTCAGCATCTCATGTTGCAATTCTTTTCTTCAATTGATAAATGTAAACCTGTCCAGATTTCTGGTGTTGTGAGCCTCTGAAAGCAAATGCATAGAAAACACATCTCTAACACAGGCTAATTTAAAAGAAGGCTGCAAATGTATCAAGTGCATAAACACTAGGAGGAAAGTAAGTTTTCCTTGAATAAAGACTGGAATTTTGAAAGTTCTTAATAATTTGCAGAAGTAGTCTTTCAGGAGGCATTATGTTTAAAATGGAGTTGGAGAAGGAGAGGGCAATAGAAGATTACTCGGTGACTAATGGATTGTGTTTGATGGTGTATGCCTTTCTTGGTTTTGCTTAACAATGTACTTAATGACAGGATCTAGGTGACAGTTCATGAAAGATTTTTGGCTGTCATAAAGTTTTGATTGACTGAAAGGAAAGTGTGTGAAATGATATGTGGCAGTGCTCTTCTCTTCCATGGTGTGGTCTTTAAGTGGAGTTCATAGGTCTCAAGTTTGTGGAGGGTGGTGAAGGTGAGGAATTGCAGCTGATGGGTCTGACCGGCACTGGGCTGTTGGCTCCAGGTCTTGGTGTGTAGTAATG